GTCACATATCCTAGATAGTGTGTTGAGGAAGATGGCAATCCCAAAACACCAATAGGTGCAAACAAAAAACAAACAAACAAGCCTGAGTAAAAGCTTGGTCTGTCTAGCCAGAGGATGAAGAAAGGAGAAGCCTCGTGAGACAGAAAGCTTTTAAAATGTAAGTGCTCTATTGCAGCAAAATAGAGCAAAAGCCAAGTGAGTTAGCTAGACCGTCACTCCTAACCAAGTTTTAACAAGGCACTTCCCTCCTCTCTGCCAGAGTGGTATCAGAGATGATCAAGTAGAGATCCCGGGTTTTCATCCCTGCCAGAAGCTAGTGGCCATTAAATAAGAAATAACATAGAAGATTTCAATAACATCATTAACCAACAGATTCAACTGATATTTATAGAACCCTCCACCTGACAACAGCAGAATATACCTTCTTTTCAAATGCCCATGGAATATCTGCCAAAGTAAACTATATCTTGGGTCATAAAAATATCCTTGACAAACAGCATAATTGAAATCATGCATAATGTATTCACAGGCCATATTATAAGTCATTACAGCATTAGAAATCATTGGAATAACATCAGAAATCATTAATGGCCCAATAACAAGAAAATCACCTGACACTTGGAAGCAAAGCAGCACATTTCTAAATGACCTATGGGTCACAGAGCACATCTCAAGGGAAGTAACACTATACACTGAAGTAAGTGAAAAATGGAATACAGTATTAAAAATTTGTGGTGAACAGCTAAAGCACTAGTAAGAGGGGAAATTATGGTACTAAATACATACATTAGAAAAAAGGGAAACATATTAAATCTACTATCTAAGCTCCCACCTCAATCATCTAGAAAAAGAACACAGGAAACCTGTAACAGGCAGAGGGAAGGAAATAACAAAGATAAGCTTTTTAAAAATCAAAGATATTTAAAACATAAAACAATAAAAAAAATTAATGGAAGAAAGATTTGTTTTTCAAAAAGATCAACAAAGTTTGCAGACCTCTAGCCAGACCACATACACCCATATACACAAAGATACAAATTTCTAATATCAGAATGAAATTGGATATCATTATAGACCTGGAAGGTATCTGAAAGATCATAAGGAAATAAAATAAGGAAAATACTAGAGAAAATACTACAGAAAAACTCTTACACATAAATTTGACACAGACTAAATTAATTAAGTGCTCAAAAAAACGTGAATCTAATTTGAAATTAGATTCATAATTTTTAAAACTTCCAGAAATCTCTCAGATAATTTCACTGGATAATTTGAACAAATATTTAAAGGAGAATTAACACCAATCCAACACAACATTTTTTAGAAAACAGAAGAGAAAGAAAATTTTCCCAGCTCATTTTGTGAAGCTAGTATTACCCCATTACCAAAATTAGATAAAAGGCAGCTCAAAAAAAGAGCATGACATGCCAGTGAGATCCCTGGAACCTGTGAATATTAGCTTATTTAGAAAATGTGTCTTTGCAGATGTAAATAAATTAGGATCTGCACGGAGAAGATAATCCTCTATTATCTGGATAAGCCCTAAATGGCATTCCGTGTGTCCTTATAAGAGAGAAGCAGAGGGCCATTAGACACATACACAGGAAAAGGAAATGTGCATATTGAAGCAGAGATTGAAGTGATGCAGCCACATGCCAAGGAATGCCTATTAACTACTTGGCGGTGTGTTCAGTGATAGGTTTGTAAAGGTGAACAAAAAATTAGAATAAGTCCTGGCACACAGTGGTGAGAACAGTACGACAGAAACTTTAAACAATCTAAAATGGAGTGTGAGGAGTAATATAGATGTAGGAATATATACAGGGGTACATTATTTGTAGTAAAAATTTTTATTCAATTGTCAATGGCCACCATTATCTATGATGGGCATATCATATCATATATGTTTTTTGAAGTGTGGTATGTGGTTATTCAGTGTCATAGAGTAAGGAAGAACACACTGTTAACAACCAAGAGATCTCTGGTTTCTGATGTGAGCATTACAGAACGTTTTAGAAGAAATAAAGAATAGAAAATGGAATGACTGGAAAATAAATCGTTATTCAGTGATTTATGTCATTATTCTCTGCCACCCTTGTAAAGTACATCTATATTTTTATGGGCTCTACTGATACTTTTAAGAAATACAGAATTCATATATAAATATCCATATTTGTATCTCTATCTATCATCCATCTATACACACACTCAGATAGTATTTCTGGTATTTGATATTCTGTTGCTAGCAATACTCACTGCTTATCTCTGAAAAAGGCACACAAAAACTGAACCAAGACGATATCACCCTTTGAGTGTATCTGCATCCTTGTTTTCCACTGAAGTGGAAATAAATTGACAGTACTAGGCTCGCAAGCACTCCTTTCTCTTCTTGCACATGATATAGCTCTAATTTTACTGATATTTTCAGGTTTGAGAAATTTTAAACAAACAGCTAGCCTTTCTGTAATGCCCCATACTGTAGGTTTTGATTCAGACAAGAAGAGAGTTTTAAACTCAACTTGCCTTCATCCAAGCCACCCAAGGTTGAAATCAATCAATCAATCAACTGAGAAACATCTATTGAACACCCTTACTATATGGCAGTAAATAAGACAGCTACAACAGCGGGGTTAGATCATTTAAACCCAGCTTTAGCAGTTCTCTCGGAAGGCAAATCAAAGTCTTCTATAATTTTCCTATTTCCTTGGCTTCGGAGCAACCATCATGATTTAAATCCATGATTCATTGTTCTTAATAATGACCCTGCATGTTATTTCACATGATAACTGCTTTGTGTTTACACTGAAATTAATTAACAATAAGGACCCCTCTCCATGAATTTATATATATTTAAAAACAAAAATGCAAATCTTCTTTGGAAATAAATACAGATTTTTTAATAGAATCTAATTTGTTAGATTAAGTAGAAATTTATCAAATTTCTAGAGAATTAAAACACATGTGATATTTAAATACATTACAATAAATTTGTAATTTTAAAAAAATACAAGAACTACATTTTCTAAAATATAGATAGAATTTTATTTCCTCACATTTTCCTGGTGGGAAAAAAAAAACAAGTTAGGCTATATATTACACATAGTTATTTTTATCAAAATTATTTCCTAATTTCTCCAAAGGGAGCTCCAGGTACAGAAAAGTCCAAAGCATAGATATGGTTTTATTTAATAAGAAACTATTCCTGTTTCTTTTAAAGCAGCATTCATTCATTCAACAAACCTTAGTGTGTATAAGTGATGTAGCAAAAACGGATGTGGGGCGTTAGGAGGTCCGTGTTCCAGGCTTCTGTTGAGCCCCTGGGATGTGCCCCGCCAAGTGTGGGTCCTTGGCTTCGCGCAGGAAAGAATTCAGGAGCAACCACAGTTGAGTAAAGATAGATTTATTTTGAGAGATACACCAAAAGGCAAGAGAGAGGCCACGAGATGTGGGGGTTGAGTGCTCAGATTAGAGTAAAAGTAGGTACACACTCCATAGACAGTGTGGGCTGTCTCCAGCGAGGCAAAGCACTGTGTTGCCAGTTTTTATGCGTTTGGTGGCTTCATGTTCTAGTAAGTGGAAGGACCAGTATAACTAGCCTGGGGAAGGGGCTGGGATTCCCAGGAAGTTGGCCATTTCCCACTCTTTGACCTTTCGTGGCTAGCCTTAGGACTGCCATGGTGCCTGTGGGCATGTTATTTACCATGTTAATATAATACAATTAGCATATAATGAAGCTCAAGATGTGCTAGAAGTCAAATCTCTCACCATCTTGAGCCTCAAGGCCTACTGGGGGTTGGATCTTTGACCATTTTGATGTTAATTGCTGTATCATTCCTTGAATGGCTGTGCCCTGACCCCTTCCTGTCTCATAAGGACTATGTCTCAAGAAGCTGAAAAAATTACAAAGATGAACAAGACACCATTCCTCTCCTAAGAGGCATTTAATCTAGTAGACAATGTAAAAGTGGCTCACAAAGAGCAAAACAAATGCAAAAAACGATATTTGGTAGCATGATAAATTGTTAAAGAAATCAGAAGTTCGGGAAGAGAAAAAAAATATTTCCTGGACCAGAAATTATTGAGTAAAAAAATTCTCCCTTAGCTAACTTCCAGTTAACCTAGCTGTAGCGTCATTAACTAACATTCTCCATTCTCTATATAAATCATACTGATTAATGTCCCCCAAATTCTCAAAACTAGTAACTAAAGTACTTTTCAGATATGGCCACACCTATCTGCATCCAGCAGTTGAACCGAATGCATACCAAGAGTCAATTGTGTGTCCTCAAGTCTATTTCTGTCAATAGTGTTTAATATTGTAATTACAAAATTTATATGAAAAGTTATTGAAATATTGTATCTATAAAATTCATGTTGAAATCTCTGGAAAGTTTTAATGAAATGACCCCCTAAAAAGTTGCTTTCAATGTAGAAATGGAACAGACATTTTAAAACATTTGAAAATATGTCTATCACATTGCTTTCCACACATATTTGTTTTTGCCCCATTTCAAAGAAAATTATATTGAAATAGTTGCATTCTGAGTATGGTGAATAAATCAAAAGTTGGAAAGTTAACCTTCATTTTATACACTTTAAGAAAAAAATATTAGAGATGTCTGTAGGCTGCACTCTTCCAATTCATATCATTTTCACACTTCATTTGATTCCAACAATTCTATACAAGAGATGGGGCAGGTGTTATCATCCTCTTTTTGCAGATAACAAATTAAGTTTTATTTATAACTTTCCAAACCACACAGTTAGAACATGACCAGGTTGTTTAAAGTTGGGTATAATATTTGTTTCTATCTCTTTTTAAGTACAGTATTTTGGGGAGAAGAAATAATTTGCTGTGATGGAGTAAATTAATTATTTATATGTGAAATGCATACATATGAAAAAGAATAACAGATAAAATATCACTACTCTGGAGGGTTGAATAGTTCTCCCCAAAATCTTTGTCTACTCGGAACCTCAGAATGTGACTGTATTTTCAGGTGTAATTAAGGATCCCAAGATGAGATCATTCTGTATTATGGTGGGCCCTATTTCAACATCAGGTGTCCTTATAAGAGCAGAGAAGGATAAGACATACAGAAACACAGTGGCTGCTATGTGAATAAAGACGGATGTAAAACTTGGTGTGTTGCATCCACAAACCAAAAAAATGCTAAGGATTTCCAGAGCTGCCAGAAGTTAGGAGAGAAGTGTGAAATGGATTCTCTCTCAGACTCCAGAAAGAACCAGCCAGAAAGAACCAACCCTTCCAACATCTTGATTTCAGACTTCCGGATTCCAAAACTGTGAGTGAATCAATTTTCGTTATTTTAAGCCACCCAGTTTGTGGTAATTTGCAATGACAGCCCTACTACTAAGACATAGCTGTGAGGAGTCACAGGTGTATCTTCTGTCAGTATTAGCTCATTTGGAAATCTTATTACTAATTATAAGGGATTATAAGGGCATTGTTCTTTTTTAAAAAAACAGGCAATGTTTCTGTACCTGTTCTTTTCTGTGATCTCAGTTCCAGAAACAATGAGCTTTTGCTATTTAAAATGACATTAAAAATCAGGAAAAAAAAATCTAATTAAAAATACAAATACATTTCTCCAGTAAAAAGACCTCTTTTTAAAAGTAGTTTAAATTGCTGTTTCAAAATTAAAATCTCAATGTGTTTATGTAAGTTCCAAATGATCCCACTTACAACTATTTTTGCTTCCATTTAGTTGTGAGATGGTGGGCTATATAAGGCTAAAAGTGAAATGCAAATTTTTCTTTTCCAGCTTGAACCATAAAATTGAAAAATTTAAGAGGATTATAATGGTTCAGGGAGAAATGGGAAGACTTGTATGCATTGAAGATTGTGATTAACTTGATTCAATGATAAATATTGAAAGGAAGTTTATCATTTATAAGTGTCATAAAGCTGGTTCTTCAAAATGGGTTTTTTACTCTGAGAATTAATTTATGTTAGGTGGTTACTGCTATCAGAAAGGTGACATAGAAATGATGTCCAGGCCACTAGCGTTTGGTTCAGAAGGCCACATGTAAGATTCATGGGCGTATTAGTTGGGGTTCTCCATAGAAACAGAGCAATAGGGTGTTAATTAATTAATTATAAGAGTTGGCTTATGTGATTGTGGAGGCCGAGATGCCTCATAATTTACCATCTGCAACCTGAAGAAACAGGAAAGCCGGTGATGTAATTCAGTCCAAATCCAAAGGCCTGAGACCAGGAGTACCAATGTCTGAGAGCAGGAGAAGATGGACAGCTCAGCGCAGGCAGGGAAAGCAAATTCACCCTTTCTCTGTGTTTGAATCTGTTTTGCCCCTCAGCTAATTGGATGATGCCTGCCTGCATTGGTAGGGATGATCTTTACTTAATCTATTCATTCAAATCTATTGATTCTACTTAATCAAATTGATTCAAATCTAATCTCTTCCAGAAGAATCTCACAGACACACCTACAAATGTTTTACCAATTACCTGGGCATCCTTTAGTCCCTCCAAGGTAACACATAACATTAACCATCACAATAGGATACTTGAAAAGCGTGCTTCTTTTACCTCTCAGCTGGACTGCACCTCTGTTTTGGATAATCATTGACCACTCCATTCAGTGAGTGGTCCTCAAACTTGGCTATGCATTGAAATTACCTGGAAGATTTTTTAAAATACCTGGGCCTCACCTCCAGATATTCTTATTTTTAAATAGTCTGGAGTGTGACTTGAGTATAGGGATGCTTTATAATTCTCAGGTGATTTTTATACATGGCCAAGGCGGATAATCACTGAGTTAGATGTTTGCATCCCATAGCTTACCGCCACCAACCCTACCAGCCCAACCCCACCAACCCAACCCCAGGAAACATTATCATCATGTACTTTACTGAGATAGTTTGGGCTATTTTATGTAATTTTTAGCACATAAGGAACTTTTTCACCCAATATTATGGACTTTTGCTCCTGGAAAAATATAGACTACTCCACAGTAAAGAGAATTAGTATATTTATAGGCTTGGAAACAACTAACTCTATTCTTTCCTACATCTCAGAGACAGAGTAGAGCATGGTAAAATATTCCTTGGCTATAGCACTGTTTCTCAGAGTGTAATCTTAATAGTACCGACGTTAACCAAATTGCTCATTAATAAAGAACAAATGAAGAAATAAATCATATTCCTGAGCTCTCCTCCAGACTTACTGAATCAGAAATTCTGATTCTGCACATGCATGGTCTAGTCAGCTAATGCCAGAGTGACATGGTGGTGGGTCCCATGTGTCCCAGAGATCACCCATCACTGAGATCTTTGGAAATGTGACCTATAAGAATTGTTCTGGTTACTTTGTTCATCTGGGGTTTGTGATAGGCAGATAGGGCACATGTACTGTACAGGTGAATGTTTAGAAGGGAACAGCCTTGGACAGATTTGTCATTCACTAGTATTGGCCAAGTTGCTTCTAGAGTTAAGATTTATTTATGTCCATTAATATCTAGCTTAAATGGAATTCTTTCATCCTATAAATAATTTCACTATATGATAAAAAAATTTCTGAATGTGGGGCCCAGAAATGTAAGTTCTTAAGAAGCAATCCAGGTAATTCCAGTGTACACTGAAGTTTGAAATATATTGGTGTAAGAACTCTATCCTATCTAAACACTTACATTACTAAGCTCTTCTAAACTGAATTTTTATATCATATATGTGTAAAAGTGAAGCATGAATCTGAGAAGGAAAAAATGAATACTTGATTAAAAAAGGTTAAATGTGTTAAGTATTATAATTTGGTTGGCTCTGAGAAAATCCAGAGTCAAATACTTGGAGATACAAAGTAATGACCTTGCTAATGTCCATTAA